GAACAGAACATAACAGAACAAAGGGTCAATGGATATTCAAGTCCCCCAAACATAGGACCTTCAAAGGGCCAGATAATTGAGACCCCAGGCATGGGACCTTCAGAGGGCCAGATATTTGAGTCCCCAGCCATGGGACCTTCAGAGGGTCACAAAAATGACAACAGAACAGAACAGAACAGAGGGTCCGTGGATTCATAGCAAATAGAGAGTCACTTAAAGTGACAACAGAACAAAACAAAAGGACACTTAAAGTGACAATTCAAAGGGCTAATGGATATTAAAGTCCCCCAAGGCGCAGGACGTCAGAAGGCCAATGGATATTAAAGTTTCCCCAAGGCATGGGACTATCACGGGGTCAATGATTATGTACAAATAATTGTTTAAAAATACATTTAGAAAATAATTATATCTGTGGGTTTCCTGTTTAAACAAATAAGGTTCATTTAACAAATTACATACTTAAAAACTAATATAATTTACAAAATAGATTTTACATAAAACAGTTTATGGTAGCTCAAAATATAATAAAACTCACCTTAACATTAATTCTTAACTTTCACTACTGATCCCGACTCACTCTCTCATATACCTCTCATTTGTTATTTATTTATTTATTTTTCTGTGATTTCCTTACCATGCAACTCACTTATATATAAGTGATAAAACCCTCACTATGCACCACTGTGTCACCTTGTGGTTTCATCTCCACGCATCCCACATGGTTTCTGAAGCAACAATTTGTACAAGTTCCCCATATTCTACTATGGTCAACAAAAAATGTTATAATTCCACTTCTTCTTTTTTCAAAGATTAAATAAATATATTTTGGGGTGTCACACCATCACTATGACTTAATTTGATTAGTCAAAAACTTACTACATCGTTTTAACACATGGCAATATTTAATTTGACCATCATGTAATCTTGATTTGAGACCAATTAGACACGTGGAAAGATTTAATTTCCTAATAATTATGCCATATTTTGTAGGCCTTTGTCATACTTGGCAATTTGTAGTTGATTGAAACTTTCCATGCGTACAAATACCTCTTGTAACGCCCCAATATTTTAAACCAATTTATAATTACCATCCTTTATTAATCTCCAATTCGAAGTATAAAGAAGAATTATAGAAAATTAATTAAAGTACAACTATTTCATAAGTCCGGTGTTTATCTTTCTCATAGAAGTTACATTTTCAATTTACAACATTAGCGATCACAATAACAATACATTATCGTTCAAGAAATAAAGGAGATACAACAAAATGCCCAAAGAGGATTTACAACTTTCAAGGCTAGGGCTTTGATTGCACACATAAGTAGAATTTCTATTCCAAACACATAACCCCACTGGCTATAATCAACAAAACATCCAAAATAAACTTTTTGTGCTCATCAAGATCTCTACCAATTCCTAATTGAGTGGAGGTACAACGTCATAACCTGAAATGTTTGTTATGATAGGAATGAACTAATGCCCAGTAGAAAATACATTTAACAAGGTATATAAACATTTGATATAATCATGTGTAATCTCAAAATCTGTTGCTCCAACACTTTTATTCAAACAAATCCACATGAGTATATATATATGTAGAAGAATATGAAATGTTTCCAAACCATTCTACACTCTCTGTCCTCACACAGATGGACCAGTGGGCACCTCACACTTTCCAAATTTATCTTCTTCACATGATTGGGCATGTGGACACCTCAAGCATTCCCCACATTTATCGTCATCACACGACCAGGCGTGTGGGCACCTAATTTCCTCGGACTATTAGTCAAATCCCCCTCCCAAAAAGCCAAACAAACATGGCGAACGTCTATTGAAGCCTATATAAAGGTTCATTCCCTTTCACTTTCTCTCTCTCTCTCTCTATCTCTCTCTCTCTCTCTCTCTCTCTCTCTCTGTGCAAAATTTCTATGTCAGCGAGTAGTCTTTCTTGAAAGCTCTCTTTCTCTTTCCACTCTTTCGTTCTCTCTCCTACTCTAATCTCTCTCCCTCTTTGTGTAATCTTGTGTCAGCCTTGTATTTTCTTAAATATCAAGAAGCTCAACCCATCACTCAAACATGACAAACAGTCCCAATGCTTATTGTAATAGATGTGATATTCACTTTGCAAATGCCATATCATTTGTGGGTCATATAAGAAGACTAAAGCATTGTTCCTCTGTGCTACAGAATGGGGATATTTCAGAATCTGTGGAAGACTAGCTCGCTTGAGCTTTTCAAGAAGGTTTCATAGATGCACTATCAAAATACCCATCATGGGTTTGTCGAAATCAAGTATTGCAGTGATATGTTAGTCTGTGTACTAAAAAGAAAGAGAAGTCAATCAATCCTCTTCTCACCAAATAGACAGAAAGGACTACTACATGAAGCAAGAAATTCATAAACTTTCTTGTTGAATCAAAGCTGATAGAACTTGATAAAAACTTAACGAGAACACAAAAACATTAAGTTGTTGCTATCAAAAATCTAATTACCTCATATCTTAAACTAGATTAATGATTCATCCACCGAATTTGTTCAGCCTGAATTTGCTCGAATGAGACTTTTCCGGCGAATAGTCTTCCGCGAGTTTCCAAAAAGGGAAACTCTTATCAAGAAGAGTCTCATTCAGGCGAATTCAGGTTGAATAAATTCGGTGTATATAGCGATGTTGCTTAAACTATTTACATGGGTTATTGTTACTATTTTCATTGATGTATTTTTCCTTTTTAGGTTTGAATGAAAATTTTGAAATATTTTTATAATTTATTTGGTATTTTTTAAACTTTTGAGAATATAGTTTTGTTTTTCTATTTTTTAAAATTGGAAAAACTATATTATACTTACATTGTATAATTATTTAGCCATTTTTCACAATTTCTCTATTGTTAGTGGTGCAACATTTATATGGCTAGTTATTGCTTTGGTGGGTTTTTCAGTTTTCCATTTCTTCAATTGAAGGCTTGACAATAGGTGAGTAGGGTTTGGATATTTTCTCAATTATTTTCCAAGATGTATATAGGGTTTTTGGGTTTAGCCTAAATAAACTGTTGAGTTGGGACACAACGGATTTCACAAAAGTGAATCTTTATTAAATACGAACATATACTCAAATATATAAAGGAAACTTTCAAGGACACCTCACTTTGAATCATTCACACTTGAGTCCTTGACTCCACTTTATACCTTCCAAAAGGGTTACTTCCCTTTATATATAGCCATCAATCTCCTCAATGGATGGTTATTATCATTTTGATCCACATGTTATTATTAAGCCTCTAAAATATTCAAGTATAAACTCATACTTTTCACTATGTTTTAGAATTTTCTAAATTATTCTAGTATGTAGTAGAGTTTTTTATACTTCTCATCACAACATATAAGAGTTTTAGAGATCAAATTTTTTAGTCCCTAAAAGTGAAAATTTTGTTGCAAAAGATATTTAGGGACCAATTTCTTTCGTCTTGAGGATGATTGCTAAAAAGTTGTCCCGAAAAATAAAAAATAAGACTTTTAGTGACAAAATTTTGAAAATGTCACTAATAAATACACTTTTAGGGACAAAATAATTTGGTCTCAAAAATGTTAATTTTTTGAGAAAAAAAATTTGGTCCCCAAATAGATAATAATTCATCACTAATTTTCAATTTTCGTTGCTAAAACTATAATAACGACACTTTTCAGAACAAAAATATGTGGTTCCTAAAAATAATTTTGCCCCCAAATTTTGGTGTCTAAAACCTTGATTTTTTGTAGTGTCTCTTAAATACTCTAAAATCTTTTGAAACCTTCTAGATTTCTCTAAATTTCTCCAAACTCTAATGTTGAGGAACCTTATAGAATGTTCTAGAATTTTTCAAATTTCTCAAAATCTTTCCAGAGCCTTCTAGATCTTTCTGAAATCTTCTAGATTATTTAACATGTGTCGTTGATGGCCTTGATAATTCTAAAAGAGTCAATGATAACTCTTAACAAGAACTTCATTTCTTTTGGGTAAATTGATGAATTTGGTGAGACGGGTTATTGTTCTTACAATTTTGAAATATTGCCTTTTTGGAGATAAATGATGTTTGGTTGGTCTTAACTAGATGAATATTATTTGTTTATCAAATTGAATTCACTTGCCATTATATGATTATAATTATCCTAAATAGGCCCTTTTTACAATCTTTAATTGACTTCATTTATGAATAATGAAGTTTTTGTTTGGAGCATAGTACACACTACATTTTGGATTGAAAGTAGAAGTTATGAGGATGACTAACCATTAATTTTGTAATTTTTTTGAGTATAATGATGTTCTCTAATTTAATTCCATAAAATCCTCAAGGAAAAATTCTCACGCAAAGAGTGAAACGTTTTTTAATTCCATAAATTTCTCATATAATTGAATATTTACTTGCAACCCAACTCGTTGGTCTCGTTTGGCAACTACATGCTTTAACCAAAAAGTCACTATAAGTTGTCACATCACTCTCTTTAAAAAATCAAAAAGTTACTAAAATAATTTGTTTCCAAACAAGGCCGAAATGTCCCACCTATTGTATTGCAATTCCAAAGATATTTTACCATGTAGTGTATAATATTAAGAGGATGCATGAAATAATACGTCTCTTCTATGTTCATGTGAAGGAAAAATTATTAATTAGATAATTCTGAAGTACCATGTGACATTATCTATATGGCAACCCTATCAAATAAGAAATCGCCATGTACATTAAATAAGTAAAAAATGAAATAATACACATATATTGTCTATAGTACTTTTCTATTTGTTTAATTTTATAAAAATGAGGACAAAGTAACTCCTTGCATTAAATTGCAATAAAGATCATTAAACAAATTTAGTGCTAATAAATGTTTTTAAAACTCCCAACCAAATATATAAACACCAGTTTTCTCACCATCTAATTACATCCCAATTTACTCACCTAAAAAAAAGAAAAACTACATCCTAACAATCCCCTAGTGACCAACACGAGAAATCACCATCCTCATCAACCATGGCGAAACTCACTATAGTTGTTGTGATGCTCATTATGTACAATGCCATTAGACCCTCAATGGAAGAAAATATTGCACCACAACCGGCCAACGATGGCGAAGAAGCATTAGCACCTTCACCCATTGATGATTTCTTTGAAGATTTTGCACTGGCACTAGCACCATCACCCATTGATGCGTACTTGGAAAAATGTGTTGAGAATTTTACCGATACTTGTGGTTCGCAGGTGTTTGAGGGTGTTTTTGGAAATATGACAGTTACCGCTCCATGTTGCAGGAACCTTTTGCAGGTAGGAAAGCCATGCCATGATGGGCTGGTTAAGAGAATTCTTGACCTACCTTGGATTAGAAGACATGTGAGTGAGTCCCAAGTATTGTCACAGAGTGATGAGATTTGGAGCAAATGTGTTTCTGATGGGGTAGCTGTTTTCCCACCCTCCTCATCTCCAACCACTTCCTAAGATAATTTGGGTTTGGTTGTGTTGATGTACCGTATTGAGAAAGATGGTTGAATAAGAAGTATGCATACATTGAGAAATGAAATTTGTCATCTATTTATTTCACCATTTTATTTCGTCTCCAACAGATATGTATGTATTATGCAATAGATATAATACGTATACAAAGGATCTATCATATTTAAATAATATAGGAGGTAAAAAGTTCAAGTGAGCCATCATACATATTAAAGTGGTACTATACCGATAGTAAAAATTCTGCATAAATTAGTACAGATTGATATGCATGTTTTGATTTTTATTACTTTAAATTAAAATATTCATCAAATTGATTTCTATTTTTTAAAGTACCACATTGTTTTTGGCAGAAAAATGTTCTACAAAATTATAAAAGAATATCATTTTCTTTTGTATACAGTCTAAAATTTTCATAAAAATGGTGTTATTTCTTGTAATCCTTTTATTTTCAATTAAAATATTTACTATAATTTCATAATTTCAAAACTGTCATTAATACATAATTTTCAATATATTTTTTTGTATACAAATTATTTTTCTACTTTCACATTGCAAAATAAGGCCGCCGAGGTCATGGTTACAAGTAGTGAGGTATGTTCTAAATCTGATTCACCAAGATTCTATTTCTATTGATGACTATCAACAAGTCTTACAAATTTAATATAATTATATTAAATTTCCTTTTAATATAATTAAAACAATTAAACTAGTATGGATGGTGTTAAAGAGCGGGATAAGCAAAGTAATGTACATATTTCAGTGTAAAATATATGACACTATAATTTTTTTTCCATCTATGCTACTGTGGGGAAGTGGTTTTGGAAATACTCATCTGATCCAATGAGACACTCGAGATCCTCAGCAAGTAACCTGAAAAAGAATGAACACTCCGGTCGGGGGTGCCGGAATTAGCATTCCAACGGACAAGTCAATGTATGCTCTCGTGATAGCTTGTGTTTTAAGTTAAAGTATTCGTTCTCACCTGCCTCTCTCTGGATGATGCTCTTCTAGTTATATCTTTTTCTTTCTTGGGCTTCGGGACTGGGTCCACCTTCAATTCATCGTATAACTATTTGTTCGGCTTGTTTTGCTGCGCATCGCTCTTCATTCGGCCCTTTACTCAACTGGTTATTTGGCCGAATAGGATACTTCTGGATTTACATGTGTAAGACAGGGCCAAATGCGATATATGAATTTCGACTCTCCTGGTCCGACTATTCAGCTTCTTTACGTGTCCCAATATTTGGCCCCCACAATTGCCCCCCAAACACTCCACTAACAACAGTTAGCTAGTGCGTTTGGTTTCGAACTCGAAAAGTCAGAGCCGAAATTCGGCGGTTAGCCTCATTCCAAAGCGGATGTTAGAGCACACGCCTTTTGGTTATCATTTCAACTTCCTGCCCCTCTAAACACTTCTATTTATTGTGATTTAAAATTTTGACGTCTTTTCAAATACATACACATTTTTAGGTGCTTGAAATCGTTAGACTGCCTTCCGACTCACCTCTGCAACTTCCTTTTATCCTTCATTGTCCTCTCCGTCTCTTGTAAGTTCTCTTCCTCTCTACTTTGAATTCATTTTCCTAGTTTGTTTTTGGTTTAGCATACTCCCATAGGTTGAAGAGAATGGCAAAACATTTGAAAGGCCTCCTCTCCGCAGATCGAATTTATGGCTTTCGACACCATTTTTCCATTCCTAATGACGTCCGTCTGTCACTCGTGACAGACGGCACCGTTGATATGGAGAGGGCTGGTGAAAACACAATCGTCTTTCCTCTCTTATCAATCGCAGAAGGTGGAGTCCGTTTCCCCCTTCATCCATTCCCTAGGACTGTCCTTCGCCATTGGGGTCTAATCCTTTCCCAACCCAATGTCAACTTTTTTAGAATTGTAATGGGGATTATAGAGTTAAACCGTCACCTTAGGATCAACCTCGACATTCCTGGTATTCAGTATTGTTATGCCTTGGCCAAGTCTTCTGGCTGGCATGGGCGCTATTTCCTCAGGGCCAAGGACACCGACCAGCAATTAGTGACTATGCTTTCCAGCTCTAGCAAGCGAGTCGATGATGTCATGGTCGTTGTCCAAGGTAACTGGGAATTCGGCAAAGGCGAGGACCGTTTAGATCCTATTCCTAGACGGAGGGGCGAACCAGGTGGCCATATAGCCCCTTGCACTTATTTTTGTTGTATATACAAGGCTTTATCTTTGCGGTCTCATGGTTTTGCTTGTACAGGAAACCATTTGAAGAAAGTTTTGATTCAACCGACGACGCCGTTCTTACGGAGATTAAAGTCGTGCTGAAATACTTCGGTCGTCCAAGCCTTCAGAAACAAGGGAGGGTGGCCCACATTCTTCTTCGATACGAGTCGACGTACACGACGTTCTTGGCGACAGAAACATCCCAATTCCGATGGGTGAAGAGTTTCTTACGGCTCTTATTTTAACCAACTTCAAAAACTTGTGCCAAGTTGGTTTCGACGGATCCGACTCGGAGTGTGCGGAAGTAGCTAAGGTCGCTGAAGAATCAGGCCAGTCCGAAGCCGAAGTAGACGAGGCTTTAAAGGTGGCCATTGAGGAAGCCGACCTCAATTCAGCCAACCCTCCGTCCACTTCGGGCCAAGGGGACGTTTACGACGACATCTTTATTGGATTAGAAGACCTTCCCGGCGCGTACACTGAAGACATGGCTAGGTTGTCACTCACACAACTCGCCAAAAAGAAAAACGCCGAACAAATGGCCGCGCGGCGGAGAGCAGAGGCCATTCGGTCCGAAGTGCCACCCGCCACCGATGTTGAGCCCTCCCTGCCTGTTGTCAAGGGGGAGACGGCTCAAACCCAAAATGCCGTGTCGGAGCCGGTTGCGCCGACGAATCAGGAGGCTGAGCGAAGGGCAGAGAAACGTCCTGCCGAGGTCGAGGCCAGCTCTGAAGAAAACCCTGCTGACAAACGGCTGTGTTTAGAGGAGTCGGATACGATTGTGCCTTTTGTGGTTCAACCAAAGATAAAAAAACATTTCAATCTCCTCTAACGCGTCGGCTATGAAAGATCCAGCCGTGGCATTGAGCATGGCTTCGTCAGTCTCATTACCGGCTGACAAGGCGGCTTTCCAGGCGGAACCAGATCTTTTGGCAATAGCATTAGCCGCTCAATCGGCTCTTCTGGTATATATCTTGATCTTGTCTTTCCCTTTTATGCATATATTGTTTTGGTTTTAATTTCCTGTTTTGCAGACGGTCGGAAGGATAGCCGAGATAGGCCATTGCCAGCATGACGCCATCGAACGAATTGGCCGTTTACAATCTGAAGTTAAGGGCCAAAGGAGCAGGGTCGAGTTCGAAGCGGCGAGGGTGAAGATGGAAAGTGCAAGAGTCGAGGCCGAGATGGAAAGGGCGAGAAATGCAAACCAGCTCATATTGGCCACTGAGGAGAGGGCGAACGCGAGCGAAGCTGCGCTCAAGTTAGCACAAGAGGCAATCGCCAAACTTGAGGCGGACTTGGAAGAATCAAAGAAAGCGAAGGAAGTGGCCAACTCTGAGGCTTCCAAGGTGTACGAGGTTGGGCAAAGCGCTGCCCTCACAAATTATGTGGAAGAAGTCCCCAAATTTGAGAATCGGGGATTCAAACACGGCTGCCTCAAAGCCCTTGCTGCTGCTAATGTGACATTAGCTATGCTGATTCCATACGAGCAAGTGGATGTTGAGCCGCTGGAGTCTGACTCCGAGGATTGATTAGGGTGACACTAGTTATTTTTGTTTAAGGATTTTGAATGTATTGTTACAGCTTTTCGTTTAGTAGTTTTTATGTGTAAAATGGCTACAGTTTTTAAGTTTTTGCTAGGCATTTCCCTATAAACCTGTAGCTTTTTATCTAGTAGTTTTCACATGTAAAATGGCTACAGTCTGTGCCCAATTTACTGATGAAAATTTCCTTTGTACTTTGCTATTACTTGTGCTTAATTTTGCTATTGATGCATAGTATTGCTTTTTGCTACTTTGGATAAAACATTCGTGTACACTTGCCGATTAGATAACTAGGCAATTTAGTAATTTATCAACGTCAAATAGTCGATCAGAATAATAAATCTGCTCTTGCCCTAGCCAATGTATGAACCCCAAAGGCCGAATACTATGAGTTCATGGAGTGGCTGCGGCACAGATCGATTGGCACCGGACCTGGATAAATAGCCGATCAGATTAATAAATCTGCCCTTGCCCCAGCCAATGTATGAACTCCAAAGGCCAATGTATGAACTCCAAAGGCCGAATACCATGAGTTCATGGAGCGACTACGGCACAGATCGATCGGCACCAAGCCTAGGCGACAGTAATTTACCATCGTCGAATAGCCGACCAGATTAATAAATCTGCCCTTGCCCCAGCCAATGTATGAACTCCAAAGGCCGAATACCATGAGTTCATGGAGTGGCTGCGAATAAGATCGATCGGCACCAAGCCTAGGCGACAGTAATTTACCATCGTCGAATAGCCGATCAGATTAATAAATCTGCCCTTGCTCCAGCCAATGTACGAACTCCAAAGACCGAATACCATGAGTTCATGGAGTGGCTGCGGCATAGATCGATCAGCACCGGGCCTGGATAAATAGCTGATTAGATTAATAAATATACCCTTGCCCCAGCCAATGTATGAACTCCAAAGGCTGAATACCATGAGTTCATGGAGTGGCTGCGGCACAGATCGATCGACACCAAGCCTAGGCGACAATAATTTACCATCGTCGAATAGCCGATCAGATTAATAAATCTACCCTTACCCCAGCCAATGTACAAACTCCAAAGGCCGAATCCCATGAGTTCACGGAGTGGCTGCGGCACAGATCAATCGACACCGGGCCTGGATAAATAGCCGATCAGATTAATAAATCTGCCCTTGCCCCAGCCAATGTATGAACTCCAAAGGTCGAATACCATGAGTTCATGGAGTGGCTGCGGCATAGATCGATTGGCACCAAGCCTAGGCAAC